TGTCGGTGGAAGCGTGACCCATTGGTTGAAAAATGTTAAATATTTATTTTCAAATGATTAATTTATTAACCGGAAGGATGCGCGAATCCTTCGGCTCAGAAACCATTTTTGTCATTTGGAGTCCGACGCTCTTGCTGCTTATATCTGTCGTCCCTCCACAGAACTACTGAAGGTAGATCATCATAACATTTGCCATGGAGATATCGATAATGTTGCGAAATTTGTCATCTGTGAGAAAGGGGTTTGTCGAGTTGAAAATAATTTAACATCTACAAGGCCGTGTTGACGCTTTTGATCTCTGACAAGCCTGTATTTGAGGATGGAGCAGATCCAACCCAGATATGACAACAATATTCCATTTACAGTTTGATACAATTCTTGTAAAGATAGAACATGTTAGAAGAAGTCTGGAAATTTCTGGAGTATTAAAAAGAACCGACCATTTTAAAAGCATTTGTAGCAACGTATATACACGTTTATTTTGACAATATACATTCTTTTAATACTTTTGTTCTTCTTTGTATTATATTTGATTCTAACTTACCTGTAGTATCCAGTATATAAAAGAAAGCTTCTAGGTAAGAATGTTTCGTAAATAAAAATGTTTGTTTATTGAATCAACGATCAGCAGAAAGCAATGTAATATTCGAACTCATCTTCAACAGAAAACAAATTAGAAACCAAAAAGTTTCAAGCGGCGAAATACTATTACGCATACACTGATGAGCAACACACGCATGCGTAGTGAGATTCTGTTTAGGACTATGTCGATAGTGTAATTGAATAAGCAGGCGTTGGTAGCAAGTTAAACTCGATTCTGGGAACAATGAAGAACATATTCGAGGTCAGCCCGAAACTTCATTGGAAGCACTATTAACTTTGGTCTAATATGTGTCCAGAATTAAAATGGAAAATTTATCAATCGTTTATCGAGTTATCTATGGTTTCGCCGGCCAAACGGGAACGTGGGCGCGTGTATGAAAATCGTGTAGAAGTCTTTCTCTCGGCTGGATATCAATTCACGCGATAACAGGACAGCTATAAATGAGATTACTATGGAAAAGTGGTACATTTGTCTTTTCTTTTGGACACTCCGCGATGCTGTATGAAAGGTCACATCTATACGATGAAAAAAATAGAATATATAACGAGTTATTTAATTTAAAGACTAATTTAATTTTGCTGCCATCTTGTTTAAGAACATCGATCTGCAATTGCTTGTGTGTTACTTTAAATTCTCCTGTAAAGAGTTCAATTCTCATGTGGTGTAGCATAATTACGGTCTTTTCTTAGAAAAGCTAAATAATAATATTAAAGGATTATAAATAATATTTATCTTAACGTTTCAATTTGAACCAACAGCAAGCACATCTCTAAGACCATTACTACTCTAACAATTTCGCTCCTTAATGGGAAAACCAGACTCATGGTCTTGTGACTTTTTTACAGCTGTTCACACAATATAAGGCTCGAAAGACCCACAAGTCACAGAATTACCGAATGAGGTTTTTCTATGGAGGTAACGGATGACAACAATATTCCATTTACAGTTTGATGCAATTCTTGTAAAGATAGGACATGGTAGAAGTCTGGAAATTTCTGGAGTAGTAAAAAGAACCGACCATTTTAAAAGCATTTGTAGCAACGTATATACACGTTTATTTTGACAATATACATTCTTTTAAGTTTAAGTCCTAGGTTAAGATTGTAGGGATCGGAGAATTATCCTTTCAGGAATCTGTTCCACAAAATAGTGGTTCTTGGGAAAAATCTGTTCGAATGGGATTTCCTTTTTACTAATGAAATACAAATGGAATGGGGGTGAGTCGCTCCTGTATACACAGCATGGCCAGTCTTAGCTGTAAAGGTCTGAACTGGTGGAACTATGGAATTTAGCCCGTCAGACCATTTTCTATGGACGAGGTTTTAGAGTAAATGGATACAAAAAGGAAACTTTTTTAACATCAGGAAGAGACAGTTGAAAATTCTGGGGCACATAATGAAGAAGAAAGGCTTGGAAAATTTGATACTCACAGGATAGCTTCAGGGCAAGAGAAACAGAGGAAAACAGTGCATTACATACAGAAGCTTACGATGCTTCGTAAAAAATAATTCATCACCCATAAGGCCACGTAGAAGCTTCTAAACTCTATCAAGACTGGAAAATGAGGACTGAGCAAATTCAGCCCAGATATAGCGATTTTCCAAGCGTAGCTTAGATGTGGAACAAGGCTGAAAGTATGGGGCACCAAGTGAGGATCGAACTCACTACTCACTTGTAATTGTTTTAGCGAGACAAGCTTGCTAACCATTACATCGCCTCGGTGTGCCCAATCCAGCCCAGATATAGCAACAGTACTCCATTTTTGGTCAAAGAAGCCCAGGCGCAGCTACTCGCACATGACCTCAAAACACCACTCAGTATTGCAGGCATGAGAACGTAAAAGTTCGATAGATGGATATATATAAACAAATGTGTCTGATAAGCGGGTTGACAGTCTAGTCTCTCATATACCGAATACAGAGTACACAAGGGCGACGTAGTTAAGGGCACTATGCCGGCGGCATACCAATCGAGAGCAACTGACGAAATATTGGAGTGAAAAACATGCTAAATAATGAAGTTTCATGTCTCGTGTTATCATTTAATCGGCACGCATTGGGGTAGCCTTTTGCTAGACTAAGCTAAGCTTAGTAAATAGTATATTAAGGCGCGCTTTGTAAAATATTACTACTGAAGTGACATCGAATTTCACTCAGTGAATGAGATGAAGTTAAACTGACGGGGAAGAGAAGCGTGTGAGAGAGCACCTCTGAGTTTAACAAAAGCAGAATATGAAATTAAAAAGAAAACATCGGTTGTCATATTTTCTGTCGATTGTTAAAAGACTTCAAAGTTAGTTAAATTACTGTGCTTCTTGATTTTGATATCTTCTATTTTTTTAGCACGCATTTTGGTTGTTCCTTTTGCTAACGACCATATATTTTGTCTCCTCTATAACTGATAGCCATTGTTTTTTATCGCTTTCCTTTACTACCTAATGTAGGACTTCTTACAGTTTTCTCTTTTGGGCCCTCCATTTTATAGCACAGAGCCATCTATCTTACATTATTGTTAAGGTTACTGAATTGATAAATGAAATGTATACAGCGGCGAAATACCGAAATAGAACTTGTTAAACAGGAAACACAATGTCGCTTTGTTGAATACACTGGAACAAGAAATGTAATTTCTAATATCTGAAAGCTACCGGTTCTAGCAATAGAAGTACAAAAAGATCTGTAATGCTGCTTGACAGATTACACAAAGGAATTTGTTTATAAAAGTCAGCACGAAGAACTCCTTGAAATATAAGAAAATCTTCATCTACACGTAAAATATATTCAGATAACCCGTCGGCTGTATTAAGAACGAACACGTGACATTAGAATATAAAACGATTTATACAAAATAAAATATACACATTTTTCAATGAAAAAAAGAAAAAGAAATATAACAAGAATATCTCTTCTCACAATATTTATTTAATCTGTTTATTGCGTTGTCTCTTCACCTCCGAGGAAATGCTGGACAATTTCCTCACAGATGAAGAAGTGATTTGAGACAAGTAGAAATTAGCATAGACAAAGCATATAAGCAACAAGGAAGTAAGGTAAATGGAAACATAAAGGAAACTTAGAATCAGAAAAAGACAGCTCAAATTTTGTGGAAAGAAGGTTTGGAGAATCTGACACTCACATGACGTACAGAACACAGGGATAACAGCAAGTAACCTACCAAATGAGATTGTGAGAATGGCTGGTAGAATAGGGAGTTGGAAGGATAGTAAAAAAACAAAAAATAGTAAAAGTTACAAATGATTTGTTTAGAGGCATATTAACTCTTTATGGGTCATTTAATGCCGAAATTTAAATTCATGGGAGCATTAGTATTTTTATATAAAAAAAAAAAAAGAAAAAAGGAACACATTTCTTGTAATTTTTTTCAAATATATTTCTAGCATTTTTTTTATTATGAAGATGTATTTCTGGTATTTTCCCTATAAAATGTATTTCTATACTTTATAGTATTTTAATCCAAGTTTAGTGCTTAATTATTTGCTCATAGCAGGAAACTTAACAGGTGCTACCACCCCTGATCTGGGTGAACCTGGAAGCACCAGCAATTAAAAGGTGGTTCCACTCTTATGAAAAGCTCCTGATCAGGGGCCTTGCTACTGGATGTAGTTTATCGTCATACCCAGGACGTGATAGGATGTTTGCGAGTGACATAGTCGAAAATGTTCTCAAGTGGCGGGACGACGACGGCTCCGAGAAAAGAAGAAGAAGAAGAAGAAGACAGTGGGATGATTGTGAGAGGACTGGTACAGGAAAATGAAAATAAATTTGGAATAGGAACATTTTGTGGAGGTGGTGGAGGCGAGGGCATTGATCGCCATCGATGTGATTCCAGGAGACTTAGGAATTGGAGTAAGAAGGATGACAAGTAGAGAGATAAAGAATGAGTAGAAATAGAAATAAAGGCTAAATGTGAAGAAGAAAGAGGAGGAGGTTAAGAGAAATAGAGAAGACAACGACGAAGGATGAGGAGGTGGAGGAGGAGGAGAAGAAGAAGAAGAAGAAGAAGAAGAAGAAGAAGAAGAAGACATTGGGATGATTGTGAGAGGACTGGTACAGGAGAATGGAAATAAATTTGGAATAGGAACATTTTGTCATGCGAAGTATCTAAATAGAGAGGTATCTAAATATATATATATATATATAGAGAGAGTAAACTTGAATTATTGCGTAGATGACGTTACTGTTATCGGCGCTGAAAATTAAATGAAATCAGAGAGTCGAGTTAAAATCCTAGTGTTGTCTGTCGTGATCACTACCGCACGTATGAATCTATCTTTTTTATTTTTCTCCCAGTTAAGTTAAAGAGTAAACTGGATTCTATAGCATTGGATTGTCGTCAATTTACAAAGAAAATTTTGAATTCAAGAAGGTAACTGGCTTACAGCCATAACACGTTGAAGCACCGGTTCTCGTATGATCACTGACGATAAGCAACTTCGAGCTTGTTCAGTGCCTAGATGAGTAACCGCTTAGGAATACCATGTGCTGCAAACATGGATGTACGGGTGGTGTAGTGGATAACTGCCCGGAGAACCGATTTCTAATACCCGTCGGGTTCGTTATAATTCACTTAAATGCAAATAGTACGACTCCACCTCTTTTACCTAAGCTATGGGTTAAATAGTGCGGCTTGTATAAGTAAATTGTTATTATCTCCCAAAACATTTTATAATCTAAAAATATCTTCTAGCGTTAAATAAACAGGAAAATGTTGATAAGCAGTAAAAAACAAATCAATCAATCAAGAAGGCTTTCCCAAGAATTAATAACAATTTAATGATACAATGTGAAAGAAACATGGTCGCCGCTTTCATGAAGGGGTATGAAAAATGATTGCAATGAAAATCAGCACTCAAAATATTGAGCTATTTACTGAACATATAAAACTGAGCAAAATTACTTCAACCACCAACCAACAATTGTCCTTGGTCTAAAATGATTAACGAAGATGAGCTTCGTGGAGATGGAACACACTTCTCTAAATAATGCAAGAGGCACGTACAAATCCTTGTGGTACGGCAAGGGCCTTGCTTCAGTTTTCTGCTGCCGCTCTCTCACTATTTCTGCTATTGCTCTCCATTTCTGTTGTTACTCTCCGTTTCTGTTGTTACTCTCCGTTTTTGTTGTTCTCCCTCTGTTGTTACTCTTTCGCCATTTGTTGTTGTTCTCTCTCCATTTCTGCTGTTCTCTTTCTCTCTCTTTCTGCGGTTCCCCATTTTTTGTTGTTCTCTAGGGATTTAAATTGTTCTTCATCTGTTATTGTTCTCTCTCTCTCTCTCTCTCTCTCCATTTCTGTTGTTCTCCAAATCTTATCAATCTCTCCCATTTCTGTTGCTGTCCATCTATTTTTACTCTCTCTCCATTTCTGTTATTCTCCATCTGTTTTTACTCTCTTTCTCTCCATTTCTGTTGTTTTCCATTTTTGTTGTTGCTCTCTCTTCATCTCCGTTATTCTCCATCTGTTGTTGCTCTCTCTCTCTCTCCATTTCCGTTGCTCTCCGTCTCTTTTGCTTTCTCTCCATTTCCGTTGCTCCCCATCTGTTTTTGCTCTCTTTCTCCCCATTTTTGTTACTCTTCATTTCTGTTGTTGCTCTCTCTCTCTCTCCCTCTCTCCATTTCTGTTGCTCTCCCTCTGTTTTTTTACTCTCTTTCTCTCTATTTCTGTTGTTCCCCATTTCTGATGTTGTTCTCTCTCCATTTCTGATGTTGTTCTCTCTCCATTTCCGTTATTTTTCATCTGTTGTTAGTCTTTCTCCATTTCCGTTATTCTCCATCTGTTTTTACTCTCTTTCTTTTCATTTTTGTTGTTCTCCATTTCTTTTGTTGCTCTCCCTCTCCATTTCCGATGCACTCCATCTGTTTTTACTCTCTTTCTTTCCATTTCTGTTGCTCTCTCTCTCTCTCTCTCTCTCTCTCCATTTCCGTTCTATCTGTTTTTACTCTCTTTCTATCCAATTCTGTTTCTCTTCATTTTTGTTGTTAGTCTTTCTCCATTTCCGTTATTCTCCATCTGTTTTTGCTCTCTTTCTTTCCATTTCCGTTGCTCTCCATTTCTGTTGTTGTTTTCTCTCCATTTCTGTTGCTGCCCTCTCTCTATTTCTGTTGCTGTTCATCTGTTTAACTCTCTTTCTCTCTATTTCTGTTGCTCCCCATTTCTGTTATTGCTCTCTCTCCATTTCTGTTGCTCTCCATCTTTTTTACTCGCTTTCTCTCCATTTCCTTTGCTCTCCATCTATTTTTTACTCTCTTTCTCTCCATTTCTGTTGCTCACAATTTCTATTGTTGTTCTCTCTCCATTTCCGTTGCTCTCTACCTGTTTTTACTCTCTTGCTTTCTATTTCCGTTGCTCTCCATCTCTTTTGTTCTCACTCAATTTCCGTTGCTCTCCATCTGTTTTGCTCTCTTTCTCTCAATTTCCGGTGCTCTCCATCTGTTTTTCTCTCTCTCTCTCTCCATTTACTTTGCTCTCCATTTCTCTTGTTGTTCTCTCTCTCTATTTCCGTTATCTGTTGTTGCTCTCTATCTCTCATACCGCATCGTATCGATCTTGTATAACAGCCATTACTTATGCTTCTTCTTTTTATTATGAATCGATTTCTTCTTTCTCAGTTTATGCGACTGATCGAACATTTACCCTTCTAGGTAAACTTGATAGTGTTCTAATTAATCGAGTGGAGGAGTAAGTTGTCGACGTCATTTATAGAGTAAAAAAAAACCTTTCTATGTTATTGTTATAATCTGAACTCGATTTAAATATGTAGGGAAGTAGGTCTCGATGCAACCGACACTAACTCACGAAGGCGCATGCGCCAATGTATGGATGTTAATAAAGAGGAGAGAATGTACTTAAATATGTCGAGTCACGAAATGTTCTCTTAA